CGAATGAGAATCTATATTCGTTCCACGAACTTCCAATTATGGTTGGTTATCAAAAATGGGGAAGAGGTACCGATGAAGAAAGTCGGAGACAAGTTGACCCCCAAGACCGAAGACGAGTTTGATGCCGAGGACATCAAAAAGGTCGAGAATTATGCAAAAGCAATAAACATGCTTTATTGTGCCGTAAATCTTGATGACTACCGCAAGATCTCTTGCTGCTCAACCGCCAAAGAGATGTGGGATAAACTTGAGGTGACGTACGAAGGAACGGACCAAGTACGTGAAGCCAAGATTGACTTCCTCACCCAAGAATATGAGATGTTCAGGATGAAGGAGCACGAGAATATCGATGATATGTTCGACCGTTTTTCCAAGATAGTCAACGATCTTCATGCATTAAAGAAGACTTACACCGACAGGGATCTTGTGCGAAAGATCCTACGGAGCTCGACATCCGAATGGCGATCCAAGGCCGATGCCATCTATGAGCTCGACATCCGAATGGCGATCCAAGGCCCATGCCATCTTAAGCTTAACAGAGTTAGTGTAACTCGAGAGAGTCTCTCGAAAGGCTGGATTAGCCACACGTTGTGGTGAACCAGGATAAAATTCGGTGTGCTCCTTCCTTACACTCTTTACTTTAACGCTCTCGTTTTAATTTCCTGCAATTTTCTTTTAAACGCTATTCACCCCCCCCCCCCCCTCTAGCATTGGGCCTTTATTCTAACAGATTGAGTTGGCCTTTATAGGGGAGAAGAGGAGGAAAAGGCCATTACAATCCCTGTAGTGAATCGGCGATTTCACGTTAGTGGAAGGAGCGGGGCCTCTTCTGGGATTTTGTACATTATCCCTGATTGGGACCAATTTTGGTTCCAGTCGGGGTACACTTTTTGGTCCAACTTTCTCCGAATGGAATTCCGGTTGCACCATTGCGATCAGACAGTCGAACTCTATTCAACGGTATAATTTTTATATTTACTTGCAATACTTTTTCTGAACTCATATTTTTGGGTGTTTGACTTTGACGGAGTCAAAACTGGTTTAATTAACCTTTACTAAAAAAGGTTCTTACATTCCATTCATATTATTTATTCTTATGATTTATTTCAATAAATCATTTCAAAGTTTACATCATAAATAATTTCTTCATTTATTCTTAACTTGGGTCTGTGCACAGGTTTGCAATCAAGATCACACAATTAGTCAACATTTTGAATTTATCTTTATGAGACTTATCCTAATTATAATACTCCTTCCGTCCTAAAATTAACTTCTCATTTGACTTTTCACGGTCTCCAATGCGACACTTTGACTATCAATATCTAAATTTTTATATAAATATATTTTATAAAAATTATATATTTCAAAACTAAGTAAACTTATATGAAAATTCAATGGTCAAAGTTTAAAAAGTTTGACTAAAAAAGTCAAACTGGGAAGTTACTTTTAGGACAGAGGGAGTATTAGATATTAAACACATATTATTTCGGCCTAAAGCCCAAAAATAATTTATTTTAATCAAATTAAATTTGATTAATTGGGTAATGTTGGGTTAAGGAACCCGGTGGCCTAGGAAACTAGGCGGAAGAGTATCGAACTAAGTCGAGAGTGCACAAATCTGGGGTCAAGTAAATTGAGAGTATTATTGTGCTTGTTAGAACGTTAGTCCCCCTCCCTCTCGAAGGGAAGGGGTTTATATGCAGTTTACAATCTAGGGTTCCGACCGTTGGTCCAGAGTCCAACGGTCTGGGCCCACTAAGATTGGGTTGTTCACTTGCGGCGTCCAACCACATCATTATCCCTTGGATTGCTATACAAGGTAGGTTACAAATAGGGAAGCTAGAACAAATCTGCCAGAGGTATGTCAGGGGTCTAATCGTGGGTCCCTTGATCTTGACTGCTTAGCCAGCTTCCTTGTCCGGGTCCGCTCTACCGTCGCCCAGGGCCGAGGCCGAGTATGTGCCTTGTCTTCGGAAGTTCCCTGGTGGAAGGGCCGGCTGGGGTGGTCCGAGGATGACTGACCCTGCCGAGGCCGAGCGTGTACCGCTGCCGGGTGGCCTTCCTTGGTCCTTTGTTTATTCTTGCTTTGGTCCGGCTAAATGGGCCTTAACGAAGTTGGGCTGGGCCGCTTTATTGTTGGGCTGGATACCCCCATTCCGGGGTATCCATCATGAGTCCCCTACTTCCTTGGCCGAGCGTAGTGAGGCCGAGGGGAGTAATCCAAAAAATGTTGGGAATTTGAATTTTGAAAAATCTTGGCTGTATGTAAGAGTCTCCCACTGCCCAACATGAGTGTTGATGAGGGTTGGGGAGTGTTCCAACTGGCAAGATTTACACCTGTCGCCTTCGAAATTTGATTGCGCTGCTTGGGAGATGCAACGTCTCTGTTCCTTTGTCAGCTGTTCGTGACGATTCGCAATCGTACGCGTAAGGAAACGCCACGTCCTTCCGTGATCATGGCTTTCCCTTGAATCAGGTCAGATCCCCTAGTCATATAAAAGTGAAAAATTCCTCCAATCCTCTCCACCCTTGCCATTTCTGTGCCGCACTTTCACCGTCGATTACACTCATCGTCTCTGCTCACTTCACCGTCACCGTCGCAATTTGCCTAGAAGGTTAGTCCACTCCTCCGTTCTCATGGATTTTTCTGAATCTACTCCTGCTATCCCCGTTATCGACCCAGCGGAGGAGGCCTTCGAAGAGATGTACCGACAAAATCCCTCCCTCCGCCCCAACGGTTTGATGGGAGGAATCGGCCAGTCTCTAGTTCTGAATGCGGTGCCTCTCCGCTCGACGATAACCGTGGCATCGTCGTCCCGGGCGCCGCCTCCAAGGGGCAAAAAATCGGAGGCCGCTAAGAGGAAAACCCGTAAATCCCTACTCGTTACTGCACTAGAAACGGGTCCAATCACGAACACGGGTTGTCTGCTGCTAGACATTGATTTTGACGAGGCCCTTCGCTTCGTTGGGGAGGGGTACACCGTGCACCGACCACACGCGACTAATCACGTCTTCTTTGTGACACCGAGGTTGGGGTGCATGTGTTGTCCATGCGTTACGGGCTTCGGTTTCCTCCTCACGAGCTGATAGTCCAATTCTTGAACTTCTACCGTCTTCTCCCCGGCCAGCTCAGTCCCCACTCCTATTATTGTTTTTCTACTTTCCTGATCAAGTGCCATTTGAAGGGAGTCCCCTGGGCATTGGATCTATTTAGATATATGTTCAAAGTCTCCAAGATCGGGGCGCGTGAGGGAAACTCGTACGCCGTTGTGTCCTCCCAGAACGAGTGCGGTATGGCCGTTTTCCCCACATCTCTCAAACTTTGGAAGGCGAAATTTGTCTTCGTGTCCAGCTTTCCCGGGGGCTGGCACCCTTTCCAGGCCAGGTTTCCTGAGTGTCATTCCTTTGTTCGTCATCCTCGTCCTGACCCCACTCCAGAACTTCTTGCACACGCTCAGAAACTCCTGGAAGACTGCCGACCGGAACCCCCTCACGTATACACGATGTGCACGGAGCAGAACCTTGCGGAGGTGGGGATCCTGATCTCCCTCGATCGACAGTTCGAGTTAGCCGAGGCCGCGCGAGGAGTTCGTCCTAGGCATGGGCTCGAAGAGACTGCCTCGGGTTTGTCGGTGGAGGGATCTGAGGAAGTGGACGAGGACGAGGAGATTGAAGCCGATGAGGAGTCCGGACAGCCGTCCTCCTCCGAGGACGCAGATGACGTGGACCCTTTCGAAGGTCTGTCCTTCACCTGAGGATTTTTCTTTTTTACTGACAAGTTTTGATCTGTGCTTTATCTTGGCAGGGAACATGCGTTTTCCTAAAGTTGTGCGGAAGGCTAGGTCGCTGGCCCAGAGTCAGGACCGAGAGGAGGAGGTCCAACGAGGGCCACCTTCAGGGGATATTTCTCGGTCTGTCGCGATCGTTCCCGACTGGGAAATGGTTCCGGCCCAGAACGAAAGGGAAAGGAAAATCCTCCAAGTAGAGGAGGAGGCCGCGTCCGAGTAGGACGTAATCCTGACCCAAAGTCCCCCTGCCAAGCGCCCGGCCGTTCTAGAGGATGGGAGGTTCTCCGCCCTCCCCGACGAGAACGTGCAAGCCGAAGCCGAGGCCGCGGCCTTGACCGCGATGCTGAAAGATGAGGGCGAAATCTTGTCGTCCCTGCAGGAGACGATGGACGGGTTCGTGCAGGCGATGCAAAAAACCGTCCAAGGGATGCAAAAAGCCGTCCAAGGGTTCCACAAAGAGGTGAGTTTGCATGTGCTTCTTCTTAACGCTCATGACATATAACTGACTTGGCTTCCTTCAGATGTCAACGAGGCTAGGCCTCATCAAAGATCGCTGAGCCGGGGCTGGGTTCTCCTCAAGACCTCCTTGGGGAAGTGCGTTGATCCAGACTTGTCTTTCTTGAGCGAGGAATCCGTTCAAGGCCCTCTTCGCCAAGAACCTGCTATGGCGGAGGTTTCTAAGAGACCCGGCCGTCTGGTGCGCAAGGTCGGCACCAACGTGCGTGCCTATCTTGAAGGCTTTCGTCGTGCCCATCGTAAGAAGGCCGCCAAAACAACCCTTAAGACGGAATGGACGACTGACCATGATACATCTTCCATAGACTCCTTTTTTTCTAAAAAAATGGATGTGTATTTTGACCATTCGGGAAATAATGCTTCACATTCTTGTGCTTGAATGATAATGTATTGTCGCCTTTGGCGTGTTTCATGTAATAAAATTGCTTGCATGCTTTGTTTTCCTTTTCTTTCCTTCTCTTTTCCTTTTTTTTGCACCCCAAGGGGTGGGGTTTTGAAGCGCTCACACCCTCAGTAGGGCTAAGTGTCGTGGAAGACATCCTAAGCAGGATTGCAAGTTTTTCGTCCTAAGCAGGACCTTGCGCTGCCCTCTGTGCTAATAACAAGTTGTGCCCATTCGGACCTTGTTCTTCGTCTCGTTCAGGGTGCCGAGTCCCCGGGCCAAGCCATGCGGATGGGCTCCCCCCCTGGAGGGACACTTGACAATAGGTATTGTCAAATGGCAAGACGGTTAAATTGTTTAATCCTTGTGATGTGTGTGAGAGCGCAGAGGGACTTTGTTCGCGTAAAGCGAAAGACCGCGTGAGGCCAAATCGTGGCGTGGGAGCCCGATGTCGCTAAGCAGAGTTATAAATTGCGTAAAGGCAAGTTGAATTCGCGTGGAAGCAAGAATTTCATTAAGTAGATTTCTCTTTTTTTTGAGCTACCGAGGCCGGTTAGTTACGGTTCTCAGTGCATTACATGTAGAAGGAAATAAGATTGTGAGTGTTCTAGTGCCTGTCGAGTTCGCGACCTTCAAGCGTGGAAAGCTTGTAGGTCCTTGGCCTGAGCATGGCTACGACCTTGTACGGTCCTTCGTAACTCTTGGAAAATTTTCCTCCGTCTCTGGGCTGGCTAGCTTCTCTTTTCCTGAGCACTAAGTCTCCTACTCGGAATTCCCTTGCTCTGACCTTGCGGTCGTAATACTCTTTGACCTGCCTTCGATAGTTCTCGGCCCTGAGGAGAGCTTGCTCCCGACGTTCTTCAACAAAATGGAGGTCGGCCGTCATGGTTTCCTTGTTTTCCTGAGCTTCATAGTGTTCCTCCCTCCAGGTTGGGACGAACACTTCCGAGGGCGCCCTTGCCTCCAGGCCATAGCACATGGAGAATGCTGTCTCTCCTGTCGCTCTCCTCGGAGTGGTGCGGTATGCCCACAGTACCTTGGGGAGTTGATCCACCCATGCTCCTTTTTAGGACTCAAGTCTCTTCTTGATCCCATCCATGATGGTCCGATTGGCATTCTCCACTTGGCCATTCCCTTGCGGATAAGCCACAGAACTGTAGGTGTGTCTTATCTTCCATCCTTGCAAGAGTTCATTGAAATCTCCAGCCTCGAATTGGGTCCCGTTTTCTATAGTGATCTGCTTCGGGACACCATATCAGCTGAGTATGTTGTTTCTCACAAATTTTGAACATTACTCCGCGAGGTAGTTTTTTCCTGGCCTTCCGGGGATGTTCTGAAAAATCTGGCACACTTTGCAGCACTTAGCGCGTTTGGCACAGTCCTTCACCATGGTCGGCAGAAATATCCCTGTAGGACTCTGCGTCTAGCCATTGAGAAAGGACCTTGGTGTGCCGCGCATACTCCCTCATGGACTTCTTCCATGATCTGCTCTTCCCTTGTTTCATCAACACATCTCAACAGTGTGCCATTGTATGACCTTTTATACAATTGGCCATTCTCAATGACATACGTCGGCGCTCTGCGTTTGATCAAACGGGCCGCTGTCTCGCCACCGGAAAGGATCCCATCCTTCTTGTACCGGGTCAACTCCGCCATCCAGCCATCGGGGTCCCCGGTGATAACAGATATGAGTTGTACGTGAATGCTTGGGGATCCCAGGTCTCCAACATCGGCCATTTTGGAGATGTGCTCAGGGCTATCATTGCTCAATTTGGAGAGGACGTCGGCCTCAGTGTTCTCCACCCTAGGAATTTGCACCAGCTCGTATCCTTTGAGGATCTTGAGCAATTCCAGGGCCACCTCTTTGTACAGGCGCATCCGCTCTTCCTGACGTACTCGGCCTTTAGGTTGAGGATGATCCTCAAGCCGCTTAGCAATGCCTCATACTTCGCTTCGTTGTTGGATACCTTGAACTGGAATTTTATTGCGTGGTTTGAGCGAAATCCCTTAGGTGATTCGATTACTACGCCCCCTCCGCAAGCCTTCGCGGCTGATGATCCATCAGTGGAAAAGGTCCACCACTCGCCCTGTTCGGCCAGGGGCATGGGGTTGTTATCTCACATCGTGCATTCTACCATGAAATCAGCCAAGGCCTGGGCCTTGATCGCTGTCCTTGGATTCATCTCTATCTGATACTGGGTCAGATAGACAGACCACTTGATAACCCTGTTGGAGGCGGTCGGGTTCGGGATGATGATACTTAGAGGCTGATGGCTCCTCACCTCCACCTCATGGGCCTGAAAGTAATGATTCAGCTTCTTGACCGTGTTGACAACGGCCAGGACTATTTTCTCCACCACTGAGTATCTAAGCTCGGCGTCCCTCAAGGTTCTGCTGACATAATAGATGGGGCGTTGAGTGTCCCCTTCCTCTCGTAACAAGATAGAGCTTATAGCTCCAGGGCTGACGCCCAAATAGAGGTACAGCTTCTCGCCCTTGACTGGCTTTGCCAACACCTGCGGGGTCAGTAAATACTTCTTCAATTCTTCAAACGCCATTTGGCATTCGGGCATCCACTGGAACTTCGGGACCTTCTTCAGCGTACCAAAGAAGGGGACGCTCTTCTCGGATGATTTTGACAAAAATCGGCCGAGTGCGGCCATCTTTCTCGTCACACATTGCACCTCCTTTATGGAACGGGGGGCTTCCATATCCAGGATTGCCTTGACCTTCTCCGGGTTGGGCTCGATACCCCGTCGGCTGACGAGATAGCCTAGGAATTTACCACCTTCTACACCAAATGTACATTTTTTGGGGTTAAGACGTAAATTGAACTTGCGCATAATGGAAAAAACCTGGGAAAGGTCCTCCGCATGGTCGGAGGACTGCTTGCTCTTGACGATCATGTCGTCCACCTACGCGACCATCATCTTCCCCAAGACCGAGTGGAACACTCGTGGTGGTCCCAAAGTGGTGAGATACAAAGTCTAGAGGGGGGGTGAATAGACTTTGTTACAACTTAAAAACTTTTTCGTTTCTTTTGAAAATGTGAAAATAAGTGTTTATTCTAGAGTTCTTGTGAACCTTAGATTGTGTGCGGAAGTTGGTGGGTTATTAGAGCAGTAATCAATATGGGTGGGTTAGTTTCACAGTTAATATAATTGCAAGTATGAGTAAAGATAAAAGAGAGAGAGACACACAAACTTTAACGAGGTTCGAAGGTGGGGTAATCCTTCTACATCCTCAAAATCCACTATGTAGTTGGTTGTTGAATAATGAACCAACAATTACACTTGTGTGAATTTTTGCACGGTATATCTTCGCAATGCCAATGTTGCTACTGCACTCGTGCTGGCTTTGTTGTTCCTTCGAAGGTCACGCTTCTTCAACAACTGCAAGATCCGAACAATAGGACTTGCGAGATCAACTTTTAAGAAAGTTGATCTTCCCCCTTTTAATCAAGAAGTTTGATTAAAAGTTATATCCTTCAACATGGTGTGGTACTTGAGGCAAGGAAACCTTCAAGTGTTTACACTATAGCTCTTTGGAAGGAGGAGAAGTTTGCTTCTGGATAAGGAGTTTAGAAATCTCTCTTTTTCAAGCTCTTTGGCTAACTGTGAATGAGATAGCTTTGTTGTAGTTTTCTTCGTTGTAAGTATTTCGTGCTTTCTATCTCATCGTGCTTTCACCAGTCTTCCAAGGTTTCTATTTATAGCTGGATTGGATAATCTATCCGTTGAATCAAAGTAGACTATCCGTTGCATTTGCTGGCTTCAATTTTTAATGAAGATTGTGATTGAGGATTCCTCATTGAAGTGGGTGTTTGGACATACCCAATTGTTTGAGGAGGGATTCCTTTTTCACAGAATCCGTCTTCTAGCTGTTGTTCAAGAATTCTGGACTGTAGCTCTTTACTCAGTTTGTGAAGATCACGAACAAATCCTTAAGACCTGCTCGAGAAATTAAACTCCCCAGGTCTGAAACAGAAGTTCAGTAAACAAGAACTTAGTCGAATTAATAGAAGTTAGATCGGCAACTTTTAGTTCTCTAACTAAAAAGGAATGGTTGCCCATCTTAAAGAAGTAAGTTCTGAATCAATTTTTCTAAGTCTTTTCTCACTTGTCTGCTTCTGAGAGTTCCGGTCTTTTCTTGAGGCATCCGGTTCTTTCGCTAACAAATCCGGAAGAGTCATTCACAGACTTCCGGGTGAGAAAGCGATCCGCGCTAGTCTTCCGATTTGGATGACTTAGCCTTCAGCGGGTTATAGCGAGACATCCGGTTGTCATGTAGTGTTCCAGATTAGAGGATCTTCAATTGCTTTGAGAAATCCTTACTTGTCTCTAACATTTCCGATCCAGATATCCAATATCCATATCACAGTATTTGATTAAGTCTTCAAAAATCAAACCATAGAGTGAAATATCACAACTTTATTGGAAGTCTCAAGAACTCGGTTTTAACAATATTTCTAAAAAGAAAAATTACATTGAATATTGGCGGAGGCCTAAAGTCCTTAGTACAATCTAAATACATCATCATCAAAATCTATAATATTTTTCCCAACAATTTCTCCCTTTTTGATGATGACAAACAAGTGTTTAAGAGTTCCGGTCGCTGTACTGAGAACTAATTTCTCATAATATACTGCTTGTTAACAAAAACTCTTAAACAAATACAATTCAAATTACAATAATTCCTAAACCAAGTCTTGTCTTGAGATATGTGATATTTTCTGCCATTTGCCGCTTTCACTTCCAGCAGATTTTGCTTGGTAGTACAGATGGCGGTGCGTTTGATAGATCTTTAATATCCAAAGTGGATATTTGAGATCTTAGAAGCAACATCTCTCCAAAAAGCAAAAAAAGAACAAAAAGAAAGTGGAGGGAAAGGAGGCGGCGGTGGAAGAAAAGAAAAAGACAGAAGAACAAGAAAAAGGTTTTGGAAAAAAGAAAATGATTGTGAAAAAGATAAAATAAGGGTTTTTAAAGATGAAAATAAAATTTTTAAAAAGAGTTTAAAAGAAAAATATGATAAAAAGAAGGAAAAATTTTGAAAAAGTAATTTTAAAAAAAATAAATGCTTGTGAAAAGGGTGCAGAGACTGCACAAATAAAAGAAAAGAAAGAAAATTTTTTAAAAAGAATTAGAAGAAAAAAAAATGGAGAGAGTGTTGTTTCCAGAGAAGATGTATGGTGTAATCCTGAAAAATACGAGATTTTCACCACAGACCTTCTCTACTGCCGAGATTCTCACCATAGACCTTGAAAGTCTTTTCTTCTCATTAGGCTTTCTCCATTGCCGTCTATGAGGGTGAGAAAGAAAAATTTCTCTATTAAGGATATTTTTCTTGGTGTTTTTCTCAGACAGTGAGTTTGAAGACTTTTCATATTGAAAGAGTTGTTTGTGATAGGAATGTCTTGGTTTAAATAGGAGAGGAGTTAGAGAGAGGGGAGGTTCACGGGTTCCATTAAGTGGGTAGTTGGAACGGTGAGAGTAAAAGAGTTTCAACTTCCAAGAAGTGTAACTGTTTTGGTTTGGCTAAGCCCAAAAGAGTGGCCCAAAAAAAAATCTATGCACTAAAGGGAAATTATTCCTATTGGGTTCTCAAGGCCCAAAATAAAACTATCATTTTTCATTCCCTATAGTTCTAATTTCTAATTAGGATGAGGTAGTACCAAAAAAAATTGTAATTCATTTTTAAAAGAAAGAGTGGTACTATTTTTCCAAAGTCCTGTACATTATAAAAATCCTAAGGACCAGTTCTTAAGAGCAAAGTTAGAAATGAACTAAGGATTAAAGCTCGGTTTAAGAAAGCAGATTTTGTAAAGTACCTGAATCGGAGATCTCGAACTTTAGTACTTAAACTGAGGTATCTGGCTTCCATTGCTTAGAGTTTATCAATAGTTCATTGCCAAAAACAATTGAAGCAATTGTTAGCCAAACACAGTTAAGTTCTTCCTGAATTACATTCCCCCTGAATGTATGCGCTTAAAGATAAATCTCAAGAATCACACTTAAAATGAATATGATCAAGCAAAATAAGCGTAATTAAGAGAACTATTAAGCAATATTTAAACCAAAACTCATGTTTAAACAAGAAGGTGTTTTCATCAAAACCAAATAATGTTTTCACATACTTCCCCCTGGTTTGATGAAAAGAGCCTTCACTGCTTCCTGCGCTTTGATGATCTAGAAGTCTCACCAATGCCTTGCATAATTCCACACTGTTCTTTGATGCGCCTGAGATTGTTGTATCTCTCCTTTTTTTGTGCATCATCTGAGAAGTGGGAGGCAATGGTTCCAACAACTTCTGATCCATCAAGGCCAGAGTCTGTTAGATGTTGAGTTGAGTTCTCCGGATTGCCTTGCTGGGCTTCCAGTATCAGTTCCATCATGTTCAGATGAGATGGAATGTAAGTGAGCTCTCCTTTCTTGACTTCAATAGGCAACTGTGGAATTAGGGATGGACTATTGTGTTGGACAATTACATCTATCTTGCGATTGCCAGTGTATGTTCCAAAGTGCCTGACCAGCCTGAATGCTTCCTTCTGATTTTCAGCAATAACCTTCAAGTAGTCTTGGGTTACTACCTGATTTGCTGAAGACACTGCCAATGCTGATCTGATATCCATCTCAAGGAATGCCATCTGCTTCTGAAGGCTGACTATGACAGTTGCTATTTGCTCTCTGATTTTATTAACTTCTTTGAGTTGAAGATGACAATCAGATGCATAAGCTTCCATTGTGTTGCTCACAGAGTTACTCAAAAGAGAAATAATCTCTAGAGTCTTGTCCACCGATTTGCTTATCTCCTTGAGATCTGAGAAATGTTTTTCTTCGGATTTCTCCATTAGCTTGTTATGCCTAGCTTCCATCTGCTCTATCTCTTGCCTGAAGGAGGCATGCTAAGACGCTAGGGCGGATTCAATCAACCCTTGGACCTTTCTTGTCCAGTTTTCCGGTACCTCATCCGGAAGAGTGGATGTGGAAGAGCTGTGAAAGTGGAAGTTAGTTACCTGATGAGAGGAAGGTGCTCTGTGGAAGAGTTGCAGAGGGAGGGATTCAGCATCTCCTTGCTCAGCTTCTTCATCATCAATCCTTAGCGTCTTCTCTGATTCTTCCTCTGTCTCACCAAGCATAAAATTAGAGATATCCCTAGAGAGGGAATCTCTTTCTTCAGCTCCAATGTTTTGCTCAGGGATAGCAGCTGGAGTTTCAGAGGTCTCCAGTCCATCTATTTGAGCTTCCTTTTCAGCTTCTGCAGAACTCCTCTGGATTTCTACAGCTTGCTCTTCTTGGAATTCATTTGCTTCTGGAGCAGTGGACTCCTCCAGATTTCCAGTAGATTTTTCCGGAATCTCAAGTTCAAGCTGATTGGAGATCTCACAGGGAGTTGTGTGAATCTCAAGGACTTGAGATTGGATGAGTTGCTGAAGTTCTTCTTCTGAGGTTTCCTGGTTCTGTTCTTGCGGAGTAGAAACTGCATTCTCTTGGTCAGCTTTAGTCAGAACCGTTTCAATGGCAGGGGAGGTTTCCAGGAAAACTCGGAAATCCTCAGATGTGGCTTCCATATCTGCTTGTGCTTCAGTGATAAGAGCCATCTGATCTTTTGTAGCCTTTGAGAAGATTGGCCTGTTGACTGCAAGATCTTCATCGTCAGCCTCAAATTCTAAAACTGGTGAGGTGACCAAGTGTTCCAGATGCAAGTCTTCATAGTTCCTTTGCCATATCCAGTCAACATCCAGGATTTGCTCACGGCAATAGTTGACTGGCAGACCTAAGCATCTCTTGATTATTTTCTCATTTTTCAGTTGTTGGTCTAATCCCACCAACTGTTCTGCTGAGTTCCCAACCTTCCAAGCTCTCCAGTCATAATAGAGCTGCCAGAATTGGTTCTCAGCATCATCAACTTGAGCCTGTGGTGAAGGAGTTGGAAAACTTTGGACTTGAAGAATTTCTTCATCAAGTTGTTGAGGGCTCTAGTTGTGGGCAGAGTTTTCCTCAACAGATTCCTTTTCCACCAACTCATCCGGGTTGGTATTTCCAGATGTTGAGGGAGAGGTGATTTTCCTTTTCTTCTTCCTTTGTAGTTCTCCTTGGGTAGAAACTTCTTCTTCTTCTTTTTCCAGATTCAACAATGCTAGATTCTGTGGTGCTTCAGCACTGGGAGAGGGAGACACCACTTGCTTCCTTTTTACTGACTTCTTCAGACTCATGATAAGGACATTGTCTAAAGAACTTTCCTCTGTAGTTGCACTAGTGCCAGCTCTGTTTTCCCCTTTGGAAGACAGATAGTATAGCCAATATCTGTCATTATACTTCTTGCCTTTAGAGGCAACGCCCATGGACTCCAAAATGTACCCAAGGTACAGTCCTTGACACAAATATTTCTGTTTGGGCTTTCCTAAGTGCTTGGAAATGGAATTGAAGAAATGTGCAGCCCAATTTACCTTAGATTTGGTAAGGAGGGCGTTGATGATGAAGGCCCTCTCTTGAATGATGTCATCAGCATGTCCTCCACTGCCACATTCAAGGTATGCGATGACCAGTTCCAGGACTAACTTGTAATCATTCTTCAAATCTGATTTCTTCGCTGGGCCAGATGGGATTTGCCCAGAAATCCCAATAGTCTTCCAATCCAGATTCTTGGCCGGAAGTCTCCCAATTTCACTTCCTGTATTGGGAAGATGAAGTTTCTCCTTCAATTTCTTCTGCGGAATTTTCACTTTAGCCCCTCCAACAGTGGACTTGATAATTTGAATCGTCCTATGTGGATTCTTCTTTGATTGGACAGTCTTGACCTTTCCGTTCTTGTAGAATTTAAGAACTTCGTTCTCATACTTGAATCGAATCTCCATATGAAGGAATTCGGAGAGCTCTTGAGCAGCAATCATCTCCAAATAGGATTGGTAGAACGTTGGTAAAGAGCATTTGGCTTCCAATTTCTAGAAATGGACATTAGCGCCAACAATCTTCATTTTCTCAGAAATTTGAGTGAGAAAATCTGAAGAAATTAGGGTTCTTGAGAATTCTATCAGAGAGTTCTCGCGAAGAAGGCGATGAAAAATTTGAGTGGGCTGAGTGGGCAGTTGAGATCTGATTATAGTGGCGATTGGGTTTAATTTGGGCGATTTATGCGGCTAGTGTCGATTGGGTTTTTAACTGTTCACAAGACCACGTGTCTACCCATTATTCTGACAGACGTGGAAAGTGGACTTCCACGTGCACCGCACTCAAATTGAATTAGACCAATTTTGTGAAGCAAATCGGAAAACTTGGCTTCACTTAGTGGTTTTGTGAAGATATCCGCCAATTGTTCTTCAGTTGAGATATACTCAATTTTGATATCTTTCTTTTCCACATGATCTCTGATGAAGTGATGCTTGACATCAATGTGCTTAGTGCGAGAATGATGCACTGGATTTTGTGAGATGGCTATAGCACTTTGATTGTCACAGAAGATTGTCACTTCCTTTGTTTTGACTCCATAATCCAGTAGTTGTTGCTTTAACCACAAGATTTGAGCACAACAACTACCAGCAACAATGTACTCTGCTTCTGCTGTTGATGTAGAGATGGAGTTTTGTTTCTTACTGAACCAAGAAACAATATTTCCTCCAATGAATTGACAAGTACCAGTCGTACTTTTTCGGTCAACTTTGCATCCGGCAAAGTCAGAATCTGAGTATCCCACTAACTCAAATGAGCTGCTCTTAGCATACCATAAACCCATATTCTGAGTTCCTTTGAGGTATCTAAGAATCCTTTTAGCTGCTATTAGATGACTTTCCTTTGGCTTTGACTGGAATCTGGCACAAACACCTACTGCATATGAGATATCCGGACGGTTTGCAGTAAGGTAGAGTAGAGATCCAACTATTCCTCTGTAGAGAGTTTGATCAACATCCTTTCCATCTACATCCATATCAATCTTGGTGGATGTACTCATGGGGACAAAAACGGATGACTTTTGATCAACTTTGAATTTCTTGATAATATCCCTTGTGTACTTGGCTTGGTTGATGAGAGTTCCTTCACTTCTTTGCTTGATTTGAAGACCAAGGAGTAGTTGAGTTCCCCCATCATGCTCATCTCAAATTTTCCTTGCATGAGGGTGGAGAACTTGGTGCAAAGAGCTTCCTTAGTAGAGCCAAATATGATGTCGTCTACATAGATTTGGACCAATAAGAGATCTTCTCCATCTTGAAGTTTGAACAAGGTCTTGTCAATGACTCCCTTGATGAATCAATTGTCTATGAGAAATTGAGACAATGTATCATACCAAGCTCTTGGTGCTTGTTTGAGTCCATATAGCGCCTTTTTGAGTCTGTACACTTGATCGCCTTTAGTGTGTAACTCAAATCCTGGAGGTTGTTCCACATAAACTTCTTCCTCTAGGTTCCCGTTGAGGAATGCGCTTTTGACATCCATTTGATAGACTTTGAAGTCCTTGTGAGAAGCAAAGGCTAGAAACAGCCTTATAGCTTCAAGTCCAGCAACTGGAGCGAAGGTTTCATCAAAATCTATACCTTCTTCTTGACAATATCCTTTGGCAACCAACCGGGCTTTGTTTCCGACAACAACGCCGTTTTCATCCATCTTGTTCCGGAAGACCCACTTTGTCCCAATGACATGTTGATGAGTAGGTCCGGGAACAAGTTTCCAGACGTCATTTCTGGAAAATTGGTTGAGTTCTTCTTGCATTGTATTGATCCAATCAGAATCATCTAGAGCTTCTTCAATATTCTTTGGTTCCACTCGTGAGATGAAACAAGCAAGCATAGCTTCTAGATTCTGTTGAGCACTCCTTGTGCGAACGCCAGATTGAATATCTCCAATGACTTGTTGAGGAGGATGATCCCTTAACCAACGAAGATTGTGTTGATTAGGGTTGACTTAGTTCAGCTTCTGGTTAAAAAACAGAGTGTGTTGGTGATTCCGGATGGATTGGCACTTGGTCGCCATTTCCGGAATTGTCGCCATGTGAGTAATCCAGAATATTGGAGGGCTGGCCCAGATTTCCGTTAGGCTCAGCACCGTCTGAATCCGGATTTCTTTGTGAAGTCTTCAGTGGTAGACTTCCGAATGGAATGAACTCCGTAGGTTTCATCCTATCTCCTTCGTTGACTTCTTCATCCTTGTCTGAGAGATCCAGAACCTCATGATCATGCTCTGAAGGCTTGTCAACCACATGTTTTTCATCAAAAATAACATGTATTGACTCTTCAGTGATCATGGTTCTTTTGTTGAAAACTCTGAACGCTTTGCTCACCATGGAATATCCTTGGAAGATGGCCTCATCTGATTTCTCATCAAAAGTGTTCAGATGATTCTTCCCGTTGTTTAACACAAAACACTTGCTCCCAAAAATATGGAAATATGATATATTGGGCTTTCTCTCATTCCACAATTCATAGGGAGTTTTGTTGTGCCTTTTATAAATCATACTCCTATTTTGACTATAGCAAGCTGTGTTAACAGCTTCAGCCCAGAACCTTTTTGGCAAGAAAGCTTCTGCTAGCATGGTTCTTACTGCTTCCTTCAAGGTTCTGTTTCTTCTTTCTGCTACAACATTCTGTTGAGGCGTCCTTGCTGCGAATGTCTGATGAAGAATTCCGTTTTCTTCACAGTAATGAATGATGATTTCATTCAGGAATTCTGTGCCTTTGTCATATCTGATCTTTTAGATGGTCTGACTTGCTTGGTTTTGAATCAGCTTCATGCAGTTTGTGAGCTTCCCTTGAGTTTCCTTCTTGCTGTTGAGGAAGATTGTCCACGTGTATCTTGAGTAATCATCAACTACCACCAGGACATATTTCTTTCCACTTAGACTTATTGGAGTAACAGGGCCAAATAAGTCCATGTGAACAAGACTTAATATCCTTATAGTTGAGGGTGCCGGTTTTGCCTTGAAAGTGGACTTGACTTGCTTTCCTTTCTGGCAAGCATCACAAATGCTTTCCTTCCTGAATACAGCATTGGGAAGGCCTTCTACTAACCCTTCTTTGGATAGTTTGTTGAGTGTTTTGAAGTTGAGATGACTCAACCTCTTATGCCAAAGCCATAGAAGGTTAGTGTCACTTTTGCTGATTAGGCAAGCTTCCTTGACATTATCCCACATTATTTCATAGATGTTTCTGATTCTCTTCCCAGTGAGAATGACTTCATTTGTGGAGATGTTCTTGAGAGATGCCATGTCTTTGCAGAATTCCAAGGAGTAACCTTTATCACAAAACTGACTTATGCTAAGAAGGTTATAAATGAGACCTTCAACATAAGATACAGCTTGGATGATTAGTCCTTTGTACACTAGATTTCCTAGCCCTTTAGTAAGGCCAAAATCATTGCTTCCTCCAAAAGTAACTCTTGGACCATCATAGGGAATTAGATTGCTCAAGAGGCTTGCATCACCCGTCATGTGTCTTGAACAGCCACTGTCTAAGTACCAGACACCTGGGTACTTAGCGGCTTCCTACATTAGGAGGAGGAAGATTTTGGTACCCAATTCAGTTTGGGTCCGGAATAGTTAATGGTGTGTGTCCCTACATCAAGTTTGAAGTTGCAGGGAATTTTCCTTGCAACCCTAAACTTGTTGGGATTGTAATCATAATTGTATGCATAAAATTTCCTATGAGCAGGTGGTGCAATTTCCTGTTTCCACCTAGCAAACCTAGGTTGATAAGACCTATAGTTTTGTCTAGGTTGTGCATAGTGTGGCCTGTGTCGGTTGTAAGCATACTTAGGTGGAACAAATAGTTTCTAGGGTGGAGGATGACTATATTTTGGCATAGTTCTCTACTCAGAATTTCTTGGAAAACTCCTATCTACCCCATAATGAGTATAGCCTCATGTATAGTGGGGGTTAGAAGGTTTTCTTCTTAAATTATTTCCTCTTTGAGGTCTGTCCAGCTTCCTATAGTTCTTAGGAGGGACTACCTTTTTGGGAACTTCTGTGGGTTTCTCCTTTTCCTTTCCTTTCTGCTTATTGGGTTTGGCAGTAGGTTTAGGAGGGATGAAAGTTGTTCTCCCTTTCCTTTTGGAATTGGAGGGGTCAAACCCAAGTCCTTCACGACCATTTTGTTTGGTCGCTTCAAGAAGCTTATCCACTGCTTCTTTGGACTTAAGTATCCCTAGCTCCTTGTTGAGGGGTTTCACCTTTTCAGAGAGAGATTTATTTTCAGTCTTGAGTTGAGTGATCTCATCTAGTTGACTTTTCCGACCTTCAGTCAACTTGAGATTCTCTTCACTCAATAGCTTGTTCTCCTCTATTAAGGATGAGTGTTTGAGATTTATTTCCTCAAAATCTTCCATCATCTTTTTGAACTTGTCAAAAAGACTTTCAGAAGTTGGTATGCTTTCATAAGAAGATGAACAGGAGGTTTGTGAAGTTACCTCTTGATCAACATCATCTTTGGCTATTAGACATCCTAAGCAGGATTGCAAGTTTTTCGTCCTAAGCAGGACCTTGCGCTGCCCTCTGTGCTAATAACAAGTTGGCCCATTCGGACCTTGTTCTTCGTCTCGTTCAGAGTGCCGAGTCCCCAGGCCAAGCCGTGCGGATGGGCTCCCCCCTGGAGGGACACTTGACAATAGGTATTGTCAAATGGCGAGACGGTTAAATTGTTTAATCCTTGTGATGTGTGTGAGAGCGCAGAGGGACTTTGTTCGCGTAAAGCGAAAGACCGCGTGAGGCCAAATCGTGGCGTGGGAGCCTGATGTCGCTAAGCAGCGTTATAAATTGCGTAAAGGTAAGTTGAATTCGCGTGGAAGCGAGAATTTCATTAAGTAGATTTCTCTTTTTTCTTAGCTACCAAGGCCAACTGGTTACGGTTCTCAGTGCATTACATGTAGAAGGAAATAAGATTGTGATTGTTCTAGTGCCTATCGAGTTCGCGACCTTTAAGCGTGGAAAGCTTGTAGGTCCCTGGCCTGAGCACGGCTACGACCTTGTACGGTCCTTCGTAACTCTTGGAAAATTTTCCTCCCTCTTTGGGCTGGCTAGCCTCTCTTTTCCTGAGCACTAAGTCTCCTACTCGGAATTCCCTTGCTCGAACCTTGCGGTCGTAATATTCTTTGACCTGCCTTCGATCGATCTCGGCCCTAAGGAAAGCTCGCTCCCGACGTTCTTCAACAAAATGGAGGTTGGCCGTCATGGTTTCCTCGTTTTCCTGAGCTTCATAGTGTTCCTCCCTCCAGGTTGGGACAAACACTTCCGAGGGCGCCCTTGACTCCAGGCCATAGCACATGGAGAATGGTGTCTCTCCTATCGCTCTCCTCGGAGTGGTGCGGTATGCCCACAGTACCTTGGGGAGTTGATCCACCCATGCTCCTTTGTAGGACTCAAGTATCTTCTTGATCCCATCCATGATCGTCCGCATGGCATTCTCCACTTGGCCATTCCCTTGCGGGTAAGCCACAGAACTGTAGGTGTGTCTTATCTTCCAGGCGCGAATCGCACCTGATCCTTACGTACTCGACCTTTAGGTTGAGGAAGATCCTCAAGCCGCTTAGCAATGCCTCATACTCCGCTTTGTTGTTGGATACCTTGAACTGGAATTTTATTGCGTGGTTGGAGCGGAATCCCTCAGGTGATTGGATTACTACGACCCCTCCGCAAGCCTTCGCGGCTGATGATCCATCAGTGGAAAAGGTCCACCACTCGCCCTGTTCGGCCAGGGGCGTGGGGTTGTTATCTCACATCGTGCATTCTACCATGAAATCAGCCAAGGCCTGGGCCTTGATCGCTGTCCTTGGATTCATCTCTATCTGATACTGGGTCAGATAGACAGACCACTTGATAACCCTGTTGGAGGTGGTCGGGTTCGGGATGATGATACTTAGAGGCTGATGGCTCCTCACCTCCACCTCATGGGCCTGAAAGTAATGATTCAGCTTCTTGACCGTGTTGACAACGGCCAGGACTGTTTTCTCCACCACTGAGTATCTAAGCTCGGCGTCCCTCAAGGTTCTGCTGACATAATAGATGGGGCGTTGAGTGTCCCCTTCCTCTCGTAACAAGATAGAGCTTATAGCTCCAGGGCTGACGCCCAAATAGAGGTACAGCTTCTCGCCCAGAAGCTGAATCATTACTTTCAGGCCCATGAGGTGGAGGTGAGGAGCCATCAGCCTCTAAGTATCATCATCCCGAACCCAGTATCAGATAGAGCTTATACCCCACCTTAGATTGTGTGCGGAAGTTGGTGGGTTATTAGAGCAGTAATCAATATGGATGTGTTAGTTTCACAGTTAATATAATTGCAAGTATGAGTAAAGATAAAAGAGAGAGAGACACACAAACTTTAACGAGGTTCGAAGGTGGGGTAATCCTTCTACGTCCTGAAAATCCACTATGTAGTTGGTTGTTGAATAATGAACCAACAATTACACTTGTGTGAATTTCTGCACGGTATATCTTCGCAATGCCAATGTTGCTACTGCACTCGTGCTGGCTTTGTTGTTCCTTTGAAGGTCACGCTTCTTCAACAACTGCAAGATCCGAACAATAGGACTTGCAAGATCAACTTTTGAGAAAGTTGATCTTCCCCCTTTTAATCAAAAAGTTTGATTAAAAGTTATATCCTTCAACGTGGTGTGGTGCTTGAGGCAAGGAAACCTTCAAGTGTTTACACTATAGCTCTTTGGAAGGAGGAGAAGTTTGCTTCTGGATAAGGAGTTTAGAAATCTCTCTTTTTCAAGCTCTTTGGCTAGCTGTGAATGAGATACCTTTGTTGTAGTTTTCTTCGTTGGATAATCTATCCGTTGAATCAAAGTAGACTATCCGTTGCATTTGCTGGGTTCAATTTTGAATGAAGATTGTGATTGAGGATTCCTCATTGAAGTGGGTGTTTGGACATACCCAATTGTTTGAGGAGGGATTCCTTTTTCACAGAATCCGTCTTCTAGCTGTTGTTCAAGAATTCTGGACTGTAGCTCTTTACTCAGTTTGTCTTCTAGTGCTTGTTTAGGAATTCTGGACGAGCTCTTTAATTTGAGGGGTCCAGACTTTGTCTTCAAGTCATTTGTTCTAGCCGTTGAAAATCAAGAGATTGATTTTTCCTTACCAACGGGTAGAATTTCTTCATTCAAGACTTAGAATTTATCTAAGTCTTTTCTCACTTGTCCGCTTCTGAGAGTTCCGGTCTTTTCTTGAGGCATCCAGTTCTTTCGCTGACAAATCCGAAAGAGTCATTCACAGACTTCCGGGTGAGAAAGAGATTCGCGCTAGTCTTCCGATTTGGATGACTTAGCCTTCAGCGGGTTATAGCAAGACATCCGGTTGTCATGTAGTGTTCCGGATTAGAGGATCTTCAATTGCTTTGAGAAATCCTTACTTGTCTCTAACATTTCCGATCAAGATATCCAATATCCATATCACAGTATTTGATTAAGTCTTCAAAGATCAAACCATAGAGTGAAATATCACAACTTTATTGGAAATCTCAAGAACTCGGTTTTAACAATATTTCTAAAAAGAAAAATTACATTGAATATTGGGGGAGGCCTAAAGTCCTTAGTACAATCTAAATACATCATGAATGGGCTGCTCGGATCAGGAATTCGGCCCTTCTGGATGGACTTCTCTATGTCGGTCACACTGTTCCTCGCAGGGCATCCTGATTTTCCCTGCTCCGCCCTGTATGAAGGCATTTTGTCGGCCATGCAATCGCTCCGTGGCCGGCACTCGCATCCGGCTGAACACGGACACGTGCGACTCACTTTCGCCTTGTCCTTCCTTCAGGGGTTCATGACGCTTGCTTTCCGTATCCTTGTCTCGTCGGCTAGCTTGCTTCTTGTTGGCCTTACGCTCCGGGGCCTTACCGTTGTCCCGCTGCTGGGAGCGGCTCAACTCCTTGTTCTCAGGTCCCCCGCCGAAGGGTTCATGCGGGGGTCCTCCATCAGACTTTTCAGGTGTTGGGCGAAAAGCTCCGCGCTCTCCACCACGTTCTGCTAGACCTCGCGACGTCCTTCAAGTTGGAATGTCGGCTGCGGCATCGTGACTGGCATGTGGAAACCAGTCATGGGCTGATTGAGCATCATCGTCCTCATCATGGCCCAGAAACTGCTAGGGTCTGGAGCCCTCGCGCCGGAGGTCTCCCCAAACTGGAAGAGTGGTGAGTTGAAGTCACCGGGTTGGGGGAGGGTTGGGTCAAAATGTCGGCGCCCTGAGTGGGCACCTGTTGGGTAGGTTCTTGAGATACCCCAACGTTCGTCGTTTGCCGCCTAGGAATGCGGTGGCGTAGATCAGTGGTGTTCTGGCTATTGACGTCGTTGAGGCTGACGTCCAGGTCGTCATGACCTGCGCTGATTGGCGCCGTGACAGTCATCCTGAGGCCACCACCGGTGTTGGCGGCGGATGACCTGGTCACTATTCTTGACGCAACCATTTTTTGGAGCATGCTTGATGTGTTCGACACTCTCAACGAGAGCACCAATGTTCGGTTAAGGAACCCGGGGGCCTAAGAAACTTGGAGGAAGAGTATCGAACTAAGTCGAGAGTGCACAAATCTAGGGTCAAGTAAATTAAGAGTATTATTGTGCTTGTTAGAACTTCAGTCCCCCTCCCTCTTGAAGGGAAGGGGTTTATATGCAGATTACAATATAAGGTTCCGACTGTTGGTCCAGAGTCCAACGGTCTGAGCCCACTAAGATTGGGTTGTTCACTGGCGGCGTCCAACCACATCATTATCCCTAGGATTGCTATACAAGGTAGGTTACAAATAGGGCGGCTAGAACAACTCTGCCAGAGGTATAGCAGGGATCTAATCGTGGGACCCTTGATCTTGACTGCTTAGCCAGCTTCCTTGTCCATGTCCGCTCTGCCGTCGCCCAGGGCTGAGGCTGAGTATGTGCCCTGTCTTCGAAAGTTCCCTGGTGGAAGGCCGGCCGGGGTGGTCCGAGGATGACTAACCCTGCCGAGGCCGAGCTTGTACCGCTGCCGGGTGGCCTTCCTTGGTCCTTTGTTTATTAAATAAAGGAAACTTACAACTTCCGTAAAATCGGAACAGAACAGTTCAGGAGTTAAATCCTCCGGAAATACTCTAAAACTACTACTAAAACTAATATACAAAGTATTTTAAGCAATTGAGAGAGTGGAACCCGAAATGGGTTGTAGAATGGATTATAAAAATGAGAGAGATCGCGCTGTATTTATAGGAACAGAGCCAAGGCGTCCAAGTCAAAGTGTCCAAGTCCAAGCGTCCAGATCTGGACGCCTGAGCTGTCCCCGCCAACCAGGTTCTACCACGTGTCATTCTTGGGCTGCAATCCAGCTGAAGCGTCCAACTCTCCAGCGTCCAAGTTGGACGCCTTAGGCCCTTCCTTTGTTGGGCTTTGCGGCTGGTTCGTGATTTCGGCCCAATTTCGCTCCGTTTTGGCCCCAAACACTGTTTTTGACCTCCCGGAAGCTCGTTCAAGCCCGAATCTTTATCCCTTGATGATTTATTCCTTTTTCTCAAGTATTTGAACATAAAATGGATGATTTATGATGATTTCATGTGGAATCCTTTTTTATGACTCTTAGAACGAAAATGAGAGTTTTATTCATTGAAAACACATTTTATGAGATGATTAAATACTATTTACGTGCAATAACGTTTAGAATATGATGTAAATGATAAGAACGAAACGGACTAATCAAAGGGCAACCTGGGCGGACAAACCGAAGGGTCACGAGAGTCCCTTTGTAGGTGCATGCATGCTATTCTCCTTCGTAAGGAACGAAGTGCCCATTTATGTTCAATTTGATCTCGTAAAAAGATTAAAGTTGGCCCACGCCCTCGCCACGTGTCGCGCGCGCATGCCAACATGCGTGACATGAAGTGCCGAGCCGAACGGCAGCGATGGCGGTGCGCGAGAGGTCCTTTTCTTCCTCCTTCTCAAATTACTTTTAACATACAATTCAATGGTAGCATATAAATAGTGGAACATGAAAGGTCTCAAAACCGATGTGTGATACGTGTGTTTTCTCCTTCCAAGTGTCCGTTTTTGTAAATTAATTTCTCATTGAATCAAGCATCATTTTTTGCGCACAATATTTCGAAACACTTGTCTCACTAAGGAGATTATTCGTCTATAATTATTTTTGGAAAAATAATTTTGTAGACCCCACCAAATTTACGTCTGAAGTTATTCTGTTACACGCTGAAAATTCCAACACATTCTTCTATTTCTAAACCCAATATGCGTGTTTACACACTCTCCCCCACTCAAACCTAGTCACACTATAGCAATGGCAAATTTGAGCCCCCCTTCACTTTGCTCCCCCACACCTTCACGCCTTGTAGCAACAAGAACTTTTCTTTTCTTGTAGCGTACAAGAACTTTTCTCCCCCTTCACTTTTTTTTTCTAAATTTGCTCCCAGTGTCTTTTTTTTCTTTCTAAATTTGTGTTTGAGTCATTCTTTTTTAGCGTACTTTGCAAAGCATAAATTCAAATACTCCGGGAAGAGAAAAAACACATTGTAGCGTGATGGGTCGATATCCCGCGGGTGGCCCAAACACCTTACTCAGAAGACGCCGGGTCAAGCATGCTGTGAAGGCTTGAATCTGGGCCAGCCCAAGACGCGGGGCCCAAACAAACTGATGGATAATAAATCCACCGGACGATCCGATTCAGAAGAATGGATCACAAGAATGAAATAAGAACGAGAATTCGAGAATTATTTGTGTGTATTATTAGCTTGATTCACCTTGAGGATTCCCCTTTCGGGTCCCCTTTTTTTATACATGGATTTTGGATAATTAAGGTAATTCGTAATTAGAGGGGGTCTATTCCGCCGTTAGCGCGATCCTCTTTTTCCGGCTTCGTCTCCGTCCTCCAGCCGAGTCTCCTCCGGTAAATTGGCTCTGCCAGCTG